CAACATCCTCCACAACTAGATTGAAGAACAAAACGACAGCAACTTGTCTGTTCCCCTTCCCCCAATTCCCCAGCACTGTTCCCATCCCCCCATTCCCCAATAAAAATCTTAAAAAAAAAAAAAAAGTTAAACATAAATTTGCCATATGACCCAGCAATTCCCAACAGAAATGAAAATGAATGGCTACATAAAAACTTGTAGTGAGTGTTCATAAAACCATTTTTTATAATAACCAAAAAGTGGAAATAATCTAAATGTCCACCAATTGATGAATAGATAGGCAAGATGTGGGATATTCACTCAGCCGTGAAAAGGGATGGACACATGCTACAATATGGATGATCTTCAAAGACATTATATTAAGTGAAAGAATTCAGACACAAAAGGCTACATATTGGATGACTGCATTTAGATGAAATGTCCAAAAAAGGCAAATCTATAAGAGACAGTAAATAGATGAACAGTTGCCTGGAGCTGGAGTTGGGAATAGGAAGTAAGTAAATACACAAGCTTTCTTTTTGGGGTGATGACAATGATCTAAAATTGGGTTGTGGTAATGGTTGCACAACTCAGGAAATCACTGAATTGTACACTTAAAACAAGTAAACTTTTGGTATGTAAATTATACCTCAATTAAGCTGTTAACATAAACCCAAAAACTAAACAAAAAATATATAAAGGCCTCATTCATTTGACAAGGGTATTTTTCCTCACCATGTGTGCTGGTTCATTCAACAACAACCTAAGAGCTATTAAGCACATGCTATAAAATGGACAATGTGCTGGGTCTGGGGATAGAAACATAAATATGGCAGCCTATATAAAGAATTCCTATAGATCCATCAGAAAAAGATGGATGATACAATAGAGAAAAAGGGCAAAAGACTTGAAAAGGCATTTCACAAAAGAAGATTTTCAAATCGCCAATAACATTAAAAGATTAATTTCATTAATCATCAAGAAAAGCAAATCGAAATCATAAGTAGGTAACAATATATACTCCCCAAGTGGTAAGTATAGAAACAAAATGAAAAATAACCACAAATTGGTGAGAATGTGATGCATTGGAGCTCTCACACTGCTTATAGGAGCCCGTTGGAAAACTTGATATTTAGCAAGGCTGATCATAGCATCCTCTAGGACCCATGAAATCCCCTCCTAGTTATAACCCAGACTGAGATGTGTTCATATGTTCACTGAAAGACATATACAATGTTCAGAGTAGCACTATTCATAATAGCCCCAAACTGAAAACAGCCCAATGTCCATCAATAGTAGAGTGGATAAATAATGACATATTTATACACTGGAAAATGCTACACTTTGAGACTAAACAAACTATCGTTAAACGTAAGTGGGTCGATCCTACATTTGTAATGTTGAGCAAAGGAAGCCAAACACTAAAGGGCATAGCACATACAGCATGGTTCCATTTATATGAAATTCCTAGAGGTCAGGAGACTAGTTATTTTGGGAAAGGGCATATGGGGGTATCTGGGATGCTGGTAATAATCAACTCCTTGAACTGAGTGCTAGTTACACAGGGCTATTCTCCAAGCTATATACTTATGTGTGCACTTTTCTGTATGAATGCTATATTTCAGTACAATTTGTTAAAGGAAATAATCTAGTCCCTGACCTCAAAGGACATACCAGGTGGGACAATGAAGTTCGCAAACTTGTTGCAATGATGTTGCTAGCCTTTTTTGATATCAGAGGGATTATTTATTATGAATTTCTACCACGTGGACAAACAGTTGACCAAGTTCATTATTTGGAAGTGCTGAAAAGGCTGCATGGAAAAGCTAGACAACCTGAACTTTTCGCCAACAATTCATGGCTCTTGCGTTGTGACAATGCACCAGTTCACACGGCACTGTCTGTGAGGGAGTTTTTAGCCAGTAAACA